CTGCTGTGCTCTTTGCTTCAGCGTGAGCTAGGAGGCAGGTTTCAAACCCCCCCTGAAAATTTAACCCCCCCTGAAATTTTCAACCCCTCCCGAAAAATTTTTCTGGCTACGGCCCTGGTTTGGAGACTCTTGCTGTATGCACTTCAGTGCTCCTTAAAGTGGTGGTCCTTTGGCTGCTGATTCCTCAAGAGTTTCCAGGGGAAAAATAAAAAAAAATATGTTGTCAAATATTCTGACCCCTGGCAGGGGGGAATAGGTGGAGGGGGGGGGCAGTCCCATACTTCAGATTGCATGGCTATTTGGGCATGGAGGGGGGATTTTAAAACTGAAGTGTCCATGCACTCTAGATAATGAAGATCTGCAATCAGTTTCATTTGAATGGCACTTTTCCCACACTGCGCACATAAAATACCTCAACATACTAAAATCAATAGGGATGGTATCTTAACTAACAAATTTTGTAGCAGGTTATGTGTTTTAAAATTCTAAATGTTGTCTCTCTACTGCCTTTTCTTAGAACACTTTCTCTTTCCGGAGAAGCCAAATGGAAATGTTTCAATCAGCTACTGGATTTAATAGGAACAAAGCAGCAGGTGACCTGTGAAAGAGCTATGACACTGAAAATAGGAAAAGCCCATAAGACAGCCTGTGAAACCTCCTTTACTGTTCCTTCTTACTTTTCCATTGGCATTACGATCAAGATTGTGCACACTCTCTCTTTTGGTATGAATTGTAGTGCTGCGAAAAACACATGCTAATGAGAATTTCTTTTCGACTGTGAAGCCAGGAGGTAAAATAGCTCTTTGATTATTTTTAAGTCTACGAACTCTTGAAAGTGTTTGGCCATCTCTGTACTTCTTTGTCAGGATGATGAGGAAATGCATGTCAAAAGAAACCACATGCTTGTAAAAAAAAAAGGAGCATGTGGCACCTTAAAAACCAGAAGCTTGTTGTGTTATGAGGTTTCATGGACTAAGGCCCACTTTGTTAGAGCCATCTGACAAAGCTGATATTTTGCAAAAGACAATGAGATGCTGCTGCAGCATGGGAAATTACAATGAATACTGGGATTCTGATTGTGGGGTTTTTATTTTTAAAAAAGAGGCTCTAAAATCCATAATTCCTGTCTTTGATTATTGTCTAGAAAGCACTTCTGATATTTTCCATAGCTTTCAGGAGTGTTTATACTAGATGACATTTAGGTATCTCGATTATGTACAGTAGACAAAGTCTTTTGCTCTGAAAACGGTGCTGATCAGTTCAGCAGGACACAGGTGATCATTTAAGGTTATCATAATGTGTGAGGGAGAGGGGGAGGGAGAAAGAGAGCTCAGTACACTCCTGTCCTGCACGGTATACTTTCAAGAAACCAAGAGAAAGAAAACCAGAACAATTAACTAGATACTATTTGTATTTCATGTTTCCTTTTCTTCTTTACTTAATCACTCTTGTCTGTTGGATTTCCACAACAAAGTAGCACTCAATGCAATGTTCACCAATATAAAATTGCAATATTATACCCACTTAACTTAAGGATAAGCTTCACTGAAGTCAGTGGGTCTAACTTCTTATGTATGATTTACTCTGCAGATTAGATTCAGACAATACCCTGTATCCATTGTCCTGTACCTATATTCTCTTGAATTCAATAGGATGTGCTCCTGAATATATATGTATAAGTGTGTACTGTTAAGAGACTAAAGTTTATTCATTTTTAAGAAATTTGTCCTGAACTTATTTTATAATTTTGGAGGAAAACCTTTTTTAAGGAAAGAAGTGAAATAAATATGGCTTTTCACCCTCTGGTTTCAGAAATGTAAATAGCTTCCAGAATTTTGATTAATTTAGGATCACAAGAACCTGAAATCAAGCCTAAAACTATAGTGTATGAAGATAATGAGCACTAGTGTAATTCTTCAAAGAAGTCATAGTTGGTGGCAGGTTGCATAAATTGTACAATCTTTTTTCTTCATTATCCATTTAATAACTACTTTACCATACAGTTCCGTAATATCTCTTCTAATTTTAGTTACAGATAAAGTTGATATGAATTGTACAGTTGTGGCCTCTATGGTGTGGCTTGAACGGTATATTAATTATACACCAAAATCATACTGCTTAACCTGCTTTTGGGTACTAGACCAGTGGTTCTCAACCTGTGGGTCCCCAGATATTTTGGCCTTCAACTCCCAGAAATCCTCACAGCCCGTAAACTGGCTGGGATTTCTGAGAGTTGTAGGCCAAAACTCCTGGGAATCCACAGGTTGAGAACCACTGGACTAGACAATAATTATCCATGTATTTTGGTTAATATTTTCAGCATTTTCCTTTGTAAATTGCATTTTAACTTAAAGCAAATCATGAGAATTTGCAGTTTTAAAATGTGATTATTATTTTATTGAAAACCAATCTACTAAAGACAAGGGCCTGGATCCAGTTAAGACTACAGCCACTTAATTAATAAAGAAATTAGAATTATCACTTACATACATTCCATTGTTTCTGTTGGTCTACTTTTGCTGAGACAAGCAACTGTTCTTAAGCATTCTGAGGGTGGTTTGAAAAAGGTATTGCTGTTGTATACATACAGTTCTTCAGTTGATACATCTGGTCAGATATGTTTTGTATGTTTTTGAAACAATTTAACTTCTGGGGAAAAAAACCTGTTTATAAAAAGCTAACGCCGAGGAAGCATTTTCCCCAGCTCTTTTGGAGAGGAAATATTAGCTTGTTTGGGATATAATATTTAAATTCTATGGTTTCATGCCACATATCTGAACCTTTGATCTGGTGGTTCCTTGGACACAAAGGAGGTCTTTAATTTTAGCCTCACAAGTAATTATTTTAAAAATCCCACTTATTTTATTTTTAAAACCCTGAATAAGCATCACACACAGGTGAGATTATTATTTGTTGTGGTACCATAGTTCACCCCATTAATATAGTATGCTAAAAGATGAGCTCATATTTTACTCCCCCCCCCCCCTTCAGACCATTCTGGTTTGTTTTGTTTTTCTCTCCCTTCGGGGATTGCAGTGCCCATTGTATCCCATTTTCTCCAGATTTGGTGTGATGATTTCAAAGACTAGTTAGTATTTACCTGTGATGTTCTACACAATTACACGGGAGAAAACTCCAGTGGACACAGGGGAATTTACTTGGGGCTAAAGATGCTTTATTGGTCTGTGTCGTAAGTTGCACAATGAGCTATTGTGAATGCTCTCTTGTTCATGAGACAGAAGGCCCTCAACAGAGAATACAGGAGGTTATCAAACTACAGGTGCCTGCCTGCCTGCTCTCTGCCCCGAAAGGTTGCCTTAGTTTGGGTTGTTGTGAGTTTTCAGAGCAGTATGGCCATGGGCCCTTCCACATAGCCCTATATTCCAGGATATCAAGGCAGAAAATCTCACAATATCTGCTTTGAATCTGAGTCCACACTCAGATAATGTGGGATTTTCTGCCTTGATATCCTGGGATATAGGGCTGTGTGGAAGGGCCCCATGTTGCCTTAGGGTCCTTCCACACAACTGAATAAAATCCCACATTATCTGCATTATTTTTATTTATTTATTTATCCCACTCTTTTCAGCCTGAAGGCAACTCAGGACAGTGTACAGATTGGCAACACTTAGATGCCATAATATAGATACATATGCATTAAAAACATTTAATATCACATAATAAAATCCATATAAAAACCAATTAAAACTATAATAATTAATGTCTACCAGTTTGAGTCCTTATCAATTGAACTGGAATATATGGCCGGGTGGACTCAGATAACCCAGTTCAAAGCAAATATTGTGGGATTTTCTGCCTTGATATTCTGGGATATGGGGCTGTGTGGAAGAAAGGGCCCTTAGTTTCTTTGTAGAAACCCACGATAGCATTTCCATCCCATTCTGAATCATGTAACAGTCTTGAGTATGGTGGAAATGTTCAAGGCAGAAATGTTCAAGGCAGATATTGTGGGATTTTCTGCCTTGATATTCTGGGATATGGGGCTGGGTGGAAGGAAGGGCCCTTCGGCATTTCCATCCCATTCTGAATCATGTAACAGTCTTGAGTATGTTGGAAATGTTATTTTCTCTTTACAGAAGGAAAACACTTGACTTTGGGAGACCTGCACCGAGTCCTGTATCAACATGTGAGGCCAAAGGGACGTAAATGGATTTGGGAATGGGACATTGCTTATCCCATTTTATACAGATATGATTTAGGCCAGGTGATAATTTCTGGAGAGTGTTTCCAAAGTGCATGGCTCCCACATTTGTGTCTGCTTCCAAAGTGTATGGCTTCCACATTTGTGTGTGTTTCCAAGGTGTATGGCTCCCACATTTGTGTCTGTTTTTGAAGTGCATGGCTCCCACATTTGTGTCTGTTTCCAAGGTGTATGGCTCCCACATTTGTGCCTATGTTTCCAAAGTGCATGGCTCCCACATTTGTGTCTAATCTGCCTGCTTCCTCAAAACAGGAGGCGACTCTGTGCTCCTGGTACCGTTTAATGACTGTGTTGAGGATGGCGCCTGCTTCACGTGCCTCAAACGGAGGGCTCTTTAGGATGGGCATGGCGCACAATATACTGGGCTTCCCTGCCTCCTGTGCCTGGCTCTTTTTGTGTATGCTTTGAACCAGCATTCTTTCAGGGGGTCGATGATTTCCCGGCAGACCGGGGCAGGGGCTATTCTTCCCTTCCCCTTCCTTGCCTGCCTTTTTGGCGAGGGGGAAGTCAGAAGGAGCGGCAAGGAGGAGCTCTGGGGGCGCCTGCATGTGTGAGTGTGAGTGTGTGGGAGAGAGAGGGGGGGGGGGAGGAGAGCGCCTTGGCCGCCCTGTTTCCTGGTGCTCTGCTCCCTGACCCCAGTGGCAGCCTTCGCTCACTGCACCGCTTCTCTTCCTCCTTGGCTCTCCCCTTTCTTCCTCGCTCTGCCTCTCTTTCGGTGCTTCTTTCTCTCTCTCCCGCCAGCCCCGGCCGAGGCTCCTCTCCCTTTCCCCCCCTCCCTCCCTCCCAGCCCTCCCTCCTTTCCTCTCTGCCAGGCTCTCCTTTGCACTGCGGAGGCCCTCGGGGGTCGAAGGTGCTGCCCTCCCTGCCAGCTCGGGCCAAGCCTTCGCCTCCTCCTCCTTCTCCGGCGCCCAGGCAGCTGCTGCTCCTCGGCGCGGCTTCACCTCCGCCTCCCGCTGCCCCCCATGGATGGGCTCCTTCCTCGGCACTGAAGGCATCCCCGGGAAGACCCCGCCGCAGCCAGGATTCGCCTCCCCCCAATATTGTGGTTGTTATCCTTGCCAAAAGAAGAAGGAGCGAAGGTAAACCCCGCCGGGAGAGAAAGGCAGGAGTGGAGGGCGAGCAGGGCGAGCGAGAAGGGGCATGGACTCCTCGCCGCACACAAAGCCCTGGGTTAGAGGTGCCTTGTCAGAGGCGAGGGAGCAGAGAGGGCAAGCCGAGCAGGCGCCGCGGCGGGGAAGCGGGCTGCCCAGGCGGGCTCCGGGGATCGCTTTCTCTCCCTCACTCTCTCCCTCCCCCCCCCCCGCTTCCCGTGCCCCCCATCTCTCCTCCTCCTCTTCCTCCTCACCGGCCTGGCTTCTGCGTGGGGGTGGCGGCGGCGGCGGCGGCGGGTTTGGCAGGCTGTTGACTCGCAGGGATCGCTCGGGTGATCGGGGTTATAATGTTAGAGCACGACCGGAGGAGGAGGCGGAGGGTAGGCCAGAGAGAGCAGCGAGCATTGTGCTGGGGCTGCAGAGCCTTGGCTGGGCTCGCCAGGCAGAGAGCGCCAAGGCCAAACGCCAGAGCCAAGGAGTCAGATGCAAAGTACAGCTCGCATTTAAGGAAGGGGGGGGGGGGAGAGAGGGAGGGAAGCCAACCTGCAACGTGTGGCAGGCGAGGAGGAGGAAAGGCGAGAGGAAGAGCCCTCTTCCCAGTCCGTCGCCCCACTTCGCCTTGCCAAAGGCATTGGCTCCAAGTCACCTCTTCCAAAAAGGGGGGGGGGGAAAACCACACAAAAACACACAACCAAAGTCTCGCTTCCCAGTGGGTTCCTGGACAAGAGTTTCCCGGCCTCTTCGTCCCGCGAAACCCTCCCGGAGAGCAGAAAGGCTCGCCCCTTCTCCCCCCTTCCCCGCCGAGGCCTAAAAAGAGCCCTGGGGGACCTTGAGGGCGAGACACGTTGGATGGAAGCCAATGCAAGACCCCGAGAAGCGGGAAAGGGGGCGAGAGGGCGAAAGAGTTCACCCCCCCCCCACTCCCGCTCCACGCAGCGCCTGCGGATCTACTTCTCCTCCTCCTCCTCGAAGGGCTCCTTCCCTTCCAAGCCCGACCTCTTACTTACTAGGTGTCGGGGCGAAGCGGGAAACGAGGGAGGGAAAAGGCGCTGAGGGTGTCTTAGAGGGAGAAAGGGCTGCCTGGGTCTTGATCGCGGGTGGGGAGAAGGAGACGGAAAGTTTCCGCGCGCGCGGCCAGCTCCCCCCCCCCTTCCCTTCCCTTCCCTTCCCTTCCCCTCCCCCAAAAGGTGGGAGATGTGCCGCTTTCTGGAGAACTGGGTTTGGATGCCAGTCTGGGGGAAGCGCGGTTGGGATGAATGGTGCGAGGAGGGTGAAAAGCGGGAGACGCTGGATTGGAAGGAGGAGGAGGAGGAGGAAGCAGGCAGGGTGGCGGGGTGTCAAAGCTATTGGCCGCTGATTGTGATCAATCATTGCGAGCGGGAGGAAGAGGGAGGGGGGAGGGAGGAAGGAAGGCAAGAGGGAGGGAGGCAGACCCCAGCACCCTGCCAGGATCCAGAGGAGGGCAGCCACCTTTTTCCAGGAGCGTGGGCCGGAGGAGAAAGTGGACCAGGCGCGGCTCTCCACGGCCACGGAGGGACTGCCTGCCTTGCCAGCCTGCCTTGCCGCGAGGAGGTAGTGTGCAACACAGCCTCTCTGGGGAGCCCCTGGGATGGAGTGGAGAAGGAGCCAGGCAGGGGAGGGAGGGAGGGAGGGATGGGGTTGCTTCCAGGCTTCCCACCACAAGTGTGTGGATGTGGGAGGCTGGCTTTTTTTAAGGAATGGAAGTTGGGTTGGTGTCATTTGTAACAGGTGTTGGAGATGAGCTTTTTTGGGGGGGGGGGCAACATGCATTTGATACAACTTTTTGGCATCTCCTTCTTACCTGCAGTTAAGCATTGCTCTCCCTTTCCCTCAGACTATATAAATGGTGTGTTTGGTTTTTAGGGTTTTTTGCTTCATTTTGATACATAGCAGCAGCATTCTTGTCATTGAAAAGCTTTAGTGATAAAGTATTATCAAAACTGTTAGTATATATTTGTGTGTGGACATGCACGTACTTGCATACAAGCACACACAAATACAAAATATTTTTGTTGAGTTCAGGCTGTGATCTGCAGCAACGTCTACTGTTATATGTTCATTTATAACGTTTTTTATGATACAGGAGGTAAAACTTTTTGACCCACCCACCCACACAATATACTAGATCCTGGCACTACTTCATCACACTCGAGAATGAATCCACTTTAAATCGGGTTGCTGTCTCCTGCAGAATTCAGGGGTTTGTTGTTTAGGGAGGAGCCTTTAACAACCTCACTAAACTACAAACCCCAGAATTCTGTAAGAGGCAGAAACTGGATTTAAAGTGGATTCATTCTTCAGTGTGAGATGAAGTCCTGACAAAATGGATTTAAGTAGGGATGAAGTTCCAGTCTGTCTAAAAAAAGGCAAATTTGTGCTAGAAAGGTCTGTAAAAAGTACACACACAAACACATGTGAGTTATTCATATGTATGTATGTATGTAACACACATCCATTTGTATGTATGCATGCATATGTATTTATACATACATTCCATACACTTGATACTAGGTTGAATGGAAACAACCAAGGATCAAGTTCTCATTTGTCCAAGTTCACGTTGTACGTGGTTGCGGGTGGGCAAATTTGTGCTAGGAAGGACTGTAAAGAAGTACACACACGCACACACACATACACATTAAAGGCAAATTAACATTCCATACACTCAATACTAGATTGAATGGATACAAGCAAGGATCAAGTTCTGATTTACCAAGTTCACATTGTACGTGGTTGCAGATGGGCAAATTTGTGCCAAACAGGACTGTAAAATAAGTCCTCTCACACACACACATGTGTGTGTTATGCATATGTATGTATGTATGTAACACATCTGTGTGTATGTATGCATATGCATTTATACATACATTCATACACTCAATACTAGATTGAATGGATACAAGCAAGGATCAAGTTCTGCTTTGTCCAAGTTCACATTGTACATAGTTGCAAAGGGGGCAAATTTGTGCTAGAAAAGACTTCAAGTAAGCGCTGTATACATTCTGCACACTGCTGTGTTGGTTCAGTTTAAAGGGTTTAATGCTTGATCCCTTGATCTGACAAGACTGCAGGTCTTGTCAGAAAAGTTCAGTAAGGCTTACTCACAGAGAAGAGTGCATAAAGTTGTATCTTGACTGGCTAATGCTTATTTTAGGCTGCAGTCATAAAAACTTTTTTTTAAATCGACAATGGTACACGCCATTGAAAACAGTAGGAGTTAATTCAGAATGGGAGTGCACTTTGTGTCCATTGTTGCTCTGTCAAAAAGAGTAACAACACCTGACAGAAACCTTTGAGGAGGCTCTCCTATTGGTATCTTACTTAACTGTAATTTTTTTAAAAAAATATTTGAGTACACCTCTATTTTGTCCAAATAAGACTAGTTAAAAGTTAAAAAAAACCCCTAATACTTCAGACGATGGAAGAAAGTGATGGTTTTTTCATTCTCCACATGGCGATTAGTATCTGTTCCCTTTATAGTGTGTACGGTGTGTTTGGTATTTAGTTTCCTTTGCTTTATTGTGTTCTTGTCATTGAAAAGATTTGGTGATGTAGTGTTGTCAGAAATACTCACAGTGCTGTTTTGTTGTGAGCAAGACATAAAATAAAGAAGTATTGCTTTTTATCGTTCACAGATTGAATGTCTTTGTGATATTTTGCCATTGTATAGAAATAACTGATTGTATTCCTACAAGGTGCAAACTGTCATTCCAAGGCAATCCTGAGTATATGTGTGTGTGTATACACATACATATGAATATGTGTGTATATGTATTCACATACATATACGTGTGTGTGTGTGTGTATGAGTTAAGAAGTTTGGAAAGTGTTTACTTCAAGATAATCGCTTTTTTGATGTCTCAGTTATACATTTTGGGGTAGGACGAATTTTTTTTAATCATGATTATGTGGGGATACACACACACATATACACTTTTTCACACTGTCATAATATTATAATGAGTGGTAAAGTTGTCAGCATTTTCTTGTGTGCATCTACACAACTTTCTCAGACTTTGTCAAGAGAAAAATTGCCGAGCAGGGACACAAGTCCTCATGGGGCGGTGAATATAAATTTGCGAAAGTTTTGAAGTACTCGGCTTCTGTCTTTACATTTTCTTCAAAGGGCTCTTCATTAAAGCAGATTATAATCAGGCACTTCTGATATGAGAGCAGTCTGGCTGCACTAGAAGAACATTAAAGGCAAATTAATAAAATGGATAATAAAATAAAAGGCAAATTAATAAAAGCAGACTTCTCAGACATCATATATGACCTTTATTTACTAGCTTGCTAGTAACTGATTGACATTCTAAAAGTCATTTGTATACACAAAGTTGTGTGGGTTTAGAATGCTTGCACAGTATTTCATATTTAAATGTATTGGAGAAATTTAAATTCAAAGAAGGATCAATATTCTTTTACTTTAAATTAGTTCATTTTTTCTTAAGAGTTTTAAACATTATACATATATTTAATATAGACACAATATTCTCTGCGAAGTCGGTTCCTGTTTATAAAATCTGTGGCTATAAATTAGGTCCTCCGCCTTTTTGCTTGTAGTTGATTGATGAAAATATACTGTATTATTCTTTTTTTGTAGGATGAACAAAGAGATGAGATTGTGTTTAGTTAATGTTGCATTCTATCCAATAGAATTTGCTTTGGGCAAGGAAAAAATATATGGCCGTACCATTTCAACTCTGCCTAAAATTCTCACACTACAAAGTGAGTCTCCCCCGCCTCCAATCCCCAAGCTCTGAGGGCTAGCATTCGTTTTTTTAATGACACTCATTTCTCTGCCGAGAAGATGTTTTCATTTGTATTTACTCTTCAGTGCAGTGCAATTATGCAGTTCCACACTGCACACTGTCTTCGCAGTTAGTATCTCAAAAGAGAATTACAGTCTTCACAACAGAACTGCAATTGGAAGCAGGTGTTGTGTTTTACTGTTATGCAAAATAACAGTAAAATATAATTGTGGGGGAAATTAAGGAAACAGCTGCAAACTTGATATGGAAGCTCCATTACAATTTGTAGGCAGTTATCTTACACCACAAACTGGGCAAAGATTTGACTCGTGAATCTTATTCTGGCAATTTCATCCTCTGCTCTGTTATATATGTGTCTATACCAAGTCAGAGATTAAGGCAAAGACCAAGAACGTTGTCTCTGAAATACACTAATACATAAGGGCGGCGCTTAACTTTCTTTCATTAGCTTTTTTTAATCATGTGCGGTGGAAAATAAAGCCTGACTCTAATTCCTGGAAAGGAAGTTGTGGGATTCTTTAGCCTGCCCAACATATGGAAGAATACATGGGCCTGAGGTTGTAAAATAATAAAATAAATCACCTATGTGAGCCCATCTGCCATTTGGAAGGCTCTTTTCTAAAATTGTGTACCCAGCAAGAGTTCATATTGCCCAGGCACACATTTGCCTAAATGCAAAATAGAAGTTCCACATACTTGAATTGACATGGAACAAATTATCTTTCCAAGTAAACCCAATATAGTATCATTGCAAAGAGAAAAAATACAATGAAATGCAATAGCCTTCACTTGGTTGGAGCCGATCTAATATATTTAATTATATGATGAAATATACAAGATATATGGGAAGTGTGGAAAGTTTGCACTTTGGGATAACAAGTTTTTTGATGTCTCAATTCTATATAGTTTAGGGTAGGAATATTTTTTAAATCATTATTTGGATAAATTTGAGCAACAGAATACAAGTTAGCATAATCTGATGATTAGAAATGCTTCGTAGCCATTAGCAAGTATATCTAAAATGAAGAAATATAAGTGAAATAATTAAGTATAAATTTTAGTTCAGCTGAAGCAATGAAAATATTTTAACACACAGTAATACATTACAGTTTTTATTTAAAGTGTTAATGTTGTAAATGCTAGCTTAACACTAGGTGATTCCCCCCCCCCCCACACACACACACACCTCAACCCGGCCTAGTCTACAGGCTCCTTAATGAAATAAAAGGAGCCCCGGTGGCACAATGGATTAAACCTTTGTGCCAGCAGGACTGCTGATGAAAGTTTGGCAGTTAGAATCCGGGGAGCAGGGTGAGCTCCCATCTGTCAGCTCCAGCTTTCATGCAGGTACATGAGAAAAGCCTCCCACAGGATGGTAAAACATCTGGGTGTTCCCTGGGCAGTGTCCTTGCAGATGGCCAATTCTCTCACACCAGAAGCGACTTGCAGTTTCTGAAGTCGATCCTAACACGGAAAAAATAAATAAAGAATGGATGGAGTTGGGAGGAATAACAAAAAAGAGTCCATAAGCTATTATCTAGGTTAGCATACATTTTAAAGAATAATTTGCTGAATCCTTCTGAGTGCTTACATAAGGGGCAAAGTGGTGATACCCATGACGTTGGTAGTCTGTGTGTTTCTCCCCTTAATCAGGTATATAAGTGGCACACGTCTTCTAAATATGGATGCTTTGTTTAGGGCTTAAATCTGCTAGTAGTTGATAGACATAATCTATTGAACCCGTTACCACATTTAATTGTGAATTCTGTTAGTCAAGGAATGTAGTGTGTTCGGAATCGGTAATTCATGACTGTTTTCAATGTACTGTCAATTGGTTTTGTTGAGTGACCCTGAATTCCAGTATTATGGAAGTGGGGAGAATATAGTTCTTACAATTTTTGTACATTTTATAATGTTCTAGCTAAAACCTTGGATTCAATGTATTTATCTACTTCCCCCACATCAGAACGCTTCAGCCTTGTTAGCTTTTACTTTGTACAGAATCCGCTCCCACATTTTGATTGTTTTAGGGTTTTTTTGTTACACTTTGAGATGTAATGGCTAGAACTATTGCAAGCATGGCCATGTGACAGATTTATATTATATCTTTTATTATGTGATCATTGACCTCATGAAATGATGAATATTGGTACATAGTAATACTACTACTATACCAACTTTGTGTTAAATACATTGAATTTAATTAATTAGAATATTGGTTGCAGTTCATTGTAGTACTAGAAGGACCTTCTTTTTATACACTCTAATGAGGGTCAGCAAAAGGCACCAAATGCTGCCTGTGCTTGGAAACTGAACAGGGTTAGTGTTGATTGGTACTTGGATGGGAGACCATAACTGAATACCGCACACTATTGGCCATATTTCAGAAGAAGGAACTGTCAAAACCATTTCTGAGTCTTCCATGAAAGTCATGGGATCACTATAAGTCACAGGCAACTTGAAGATCTGTACAAAATGAAAATGTTTGGAGGAAGAATGAGCAGAAGAATTATAGTCATAGTCGATAAAAGGTGTTCTAATTTTATGGGTTAAGAAAAATTCAGAAAGTATTTCACATTCCATGCAGTCATGTTGACCACATGACCTTGGACGTGTCTACGGACAATGCTGGCTCTTCGTCTTAGAAATTGAGATGAGCACCAACCCCCAGAGTGGACATTATTGGACTTAATGTCAGGGGAAAACCTTTACCTGTACGCTTCTTTAAGATAGTGAATAGCCTGCCAATTGTTCATTTAGAGTAGTTGGGACGAAAAGGAAGATTTTAAGAAAACTCCTAATGTCTTGAAGCATATTAAAATGAAACAATAATATTTCAGCGTAAGAATTAGCTGGAGAAAAGTGTTGTGCCACAGAGTCATTCATGTGCAGCCAGGCAGTGGACAGACCAGACCTCTTACATGTTATGCAGTTCCATTTCTTTACTATTCTGTGGTCGTCTTACATGTATAATTCCCACTGAGGTTGTTTTGGTTATTCCTCAGAGGTGTGGGGTGCAAACCAGCAGAAAAGTTCAATGGAAAAAAAAATCTAGTTCTGTATTTTCCCCTGTAAAATTTTCCATATAAGTCACCCACTTATCTGTAGTTGTCTGACTTATTGTACTGTAATTAATCCTTTTGTGAACCACAATGTTAAACTAGTTGTAATGAATTTAATTTTTCCCAACTAGAAATGGAACTGATATGTAATGCAGAGGATGAGTCAGTCAGTGAAGCTGAGCAACATTTACACTTCCACAAAAGAAAAATAAAGCCCTTGATATATGCATTCTAAAAATACTGTTCTTTGATATATAGTCGTTTGTGTCTGATATATGGAATCTATGTTTTATTCCCTTTACATTTTTGCAAATATTCCAATAAACTAATTTCAGCATAATCATAGTATTTTACTATTTCTAACTGTGATATGTAAACCAATATACTAAGCTGGATAATGTTATTTAGAATATTACTTCTTCCAGAAAACACCATTACCCATTAGGTTTGTAATTATTACGGTCATTGCCTTGCTGTCACCAAAATCTGTTTTGTCTACTCACAAGTTGATATTCCTAGAACATGGTTGTTATTAACATTGATACAGTGTGCATTTTAATTGGAGATCATGACTATCTTGGTTGAACCCAGTTCCTAAAAGGAGCTTCAAATTTACAAACTTCTCTGTATTTTTCTAGACGTCTGCAGAGTTCATGAGGACATCTCTAAGTTACAACGTTGGCTGAAACACAATGCCCACCTCCGTCCTTTGCTCTGGAAAGTTGTAAGTTGCTCATGTCTATAAAGAGGAAGCATGGCTCATGGAATTCCTTCACAAGGCAAAGTTACCATTTCAGTGGATGAATACAGTTCAAATCCAACCCAGGCGTTCACACATTACAACATTAACCAGAGCAGGTTCCAGCCTCCACATGTACACATGTAAGTAACATGAGTGCATTCACCTTGATTTTTGAACGTTACTTAATCATTTTGCAATTGGATCACCAGATGGAATGCCATAAATTTTACATGCCTTTTGTTCACATAATTTGGCTGCCCTTGTACATATTTGGAAGGCAAATCAAGGTGAAGTGTCTCCCCCTGCTCCCCCCACTCTGGATATTCTACACTTAGCAGTTGGAATAGGACAGTTGCTTCAGAGTATTAACCCAGTGGTTTAACACAGTGAGAGTAGAACAAAACTAGAGCTAGAACTTTTTAAAAAGTTGCCATTCTTTTAACATTTATTGTGACAATCTTTTCAAACTTCTTAGATGGCTTAGGAAAAAAATCTTTTCAAACCAGAGTAGGAATGTTCACACAATGATTGCATGAATTGTGGTTTGGAAATCTTTATCCATGTGCTGATGGCAAACTTGGCAGCTCCAGAATTATTGCTATCCTCCACTATAAATTAGGTGACAATCCCCCCTCCCAAATTTGTTGCATGGTTAATCAGGCAAATTAGTTCAGTGGGGAGTCCAAATGTCAGGGGCTTGGTGAAGCCTCGGTGTCGTTTTGTGAGCTGAATGCCTCCTAGCAGACTTGTAGCTTATTGATTTCACTGGAACTTGCCAAAGGGACATATTTCTTGAAAATGTGAGCTCCCTTCCTCCACCCTTCTGCACTCAGCTGCGAAATAGGCCTAATTGGGACTAATTGTCTCCTGATCACTGAATCCTTTGTCCTTCTTGTTGTAAGGGGAGTGTGTGCCGCATGCTGCATTCCTCTTACAAGAAGGAAGACAAAGGATTTCGAGACTGCTGAACTGTTAGCCCCAAGAAATACAAATGCTGCATTAAAATAATGTTTATGACCTGAACTTAAACCAACAAAGGCAGAGCAAAAGGCGCCTTTCCCAGCCTGCTATGTTTTGGTATTGTGGTTTTTGTGAGCTCAGATGATATTTGTGCACACATAAACAGTTTTTAAAGAACTAAGTGAATTATTAAAATCTAGTTTTCCTTCCCATGACTTCTCCACTGTTTCCCCCCAGATAATATATTGTCAGACATTTTATCTTTATCAGCTATTTTTAGTTAATATCTTTTTTTCTCCTAATGGTTTGACAGGTAAGTTAAATAATGAAATGGGCAGCTTTTGACTTTATATTGACCTAAAGTGGATGTGGTACTTTATTCAGTCAGTTTTGTCTAGTATTAATTCTAAAACATGTTTTTACATTGAACTGTCTTCGCTAAAAGATACAGAATATGAGATGAGGGGATTTTCCTTTTTCCAACCAACTTTTGTTGAATTAGGAATAATGTGCTAGCCCTCAAATTGTGCAGAGCTCTTTATTAATCAGATTGAAAGGGCAACATGCACACATGTTTAATCACTTAAGTAATATAATGAAACTGTAAAAGAACTAAAATTAATGATCATTACCCAAGAAGTGTGCAGTTAGGGCAGGGTGTTCAAGAGCCTCTGTGAAAGTTCTGTGAATTTCAAATGCAGTCTGGTGTTGGGTATATGTGTATGGTGAGGGTGCCAGAGAATATAGTTCAGAACAAAAAAGGCTGGACGTTTTTCAAGTTTGCCCTTTTACATGGCTTACATAATGATGAAATAGGGGGGATAGAATCAAAGGCCATTACTATAACAAATGTTGTTTAGCTCAATGGTTCTTAACCTGTGGGCCGTGGACCACCAGTCGAAAATCTGGTCCACGAGCCTCCGTCCTCTATTTATTTTATTTTATTTCCGTGCCCTTTGTGCTGTCTGTCACTCCTTTTCTGTCTCTGACCATGGGATATGTTCTGTATCAAAAACTAGAGCTGATGTGATCTAGCCAATGCAGTTTTTTGAATCAGCACTCCAAACCAAATCTAAAGTTGACCAAAAACTGGTTCGTAACCCCTTTTGGTACTAATGTTAGAGAGTGGTTCCCTGGTCAAAGTGGTCCCTGGTTAAAAAAAAAAAAAGGTTGGGAGCTACTGTTTTAGCTGGTTGTTGCACCTGGCTATCAGTCTATTTTCTTTATTCAAATACAGTACATAACACAACAATTCAACATCTTCTGAAATAGTTTTGTATTTTTGGATATGAGAGATGGAATTTGTCAGTCTTTTTCAACAGTGGAAATTGGGCAAAGAGAAAATGTAGGGTCCTGACATATTGAAACCTCAGTAGAAGTGAATTCAAATCACCTCTATTGATAATAAGTTACTGAATAAAAATCACCTGGGTCAGTTTCTAAGACTGGGTTTCCATCTGCAGAAGCTATTTACACTTTGTGAAAGTGGGAGGGAAAAATTCTTCCTACTTCCTGCAGCACCAGCAGCCCTAGAAATCTGCTTCAGGAGGCTAGGAAAGCCTATTCCCAGTACCATGGAAGATGACAGATAGGAGGGATAGTGTTGCATTTGAGGCTTAATTGTGCTTCTACAAATATGGATGGAATTATATTGATGTATCCATGAGTGCAACATTATTAAGTATCTCTGCAGTTTCAAGTATAGCCTTGAAATATTTTGTTGTTTATTGAGTCTTAGCAAGTATTGCACCATGTGTGTCCTTTGCATTTCAGGAGGCTACTCCAAGAGTGGTTGAGTAATGTATGGAATGTAGTTTCCATTAAAAGTTCAGAATCAGGTGTTGTGCATCTTATGTGTAGGAGAGTGCACTTGCCTTGCATTTTGATCCAGTCCTTGCCAACCTTGGCTTTCAGTGATCTTTGAACTAAAATGCACATGCAGTAATGTTTTTTTCTTGACTAGGATGCTAGCATGTTTAATAGAGTTTTAAATAAGTAGATTGTGTGTGTATATGGGGGGAGGGAGGGGGTTCCTGTTGTAGTTCATCAACTGCTACAAAAAGCTGCATTTTCTATATGGAGTTCCAGCTTTGTTTTTGGAAAGAATGTTACTAAATGTTACCTATGAGGGTTTGGTCAGTATGGTTTGTGTTCAGCAGAGAAAATAGTTGCTCTTGGAAGGGTTAAGGCTTTTCTCCCAGTGTTTTGTCTTCAAAATAAGGCCTCTACAGTGTTGTTTTTGATTGCAGTTGTTATTTGCAGTCACATTTGCTTTGACTTATGACAGCCTTATGAATGAGATCTCCAGAAGTTCTAGCAAGCAAATGCCCTGTTTAAGTTTGGCAAATGAAACCCTGTAACTTTATCAGGGCATCTGTAATGTCTCCTTCTTTCTCTATTCACGTTCTTTCATAGCTTCCCTTACAAGTCCTAGTCTTCTTCTGATTTCTTGACTATAGTCTTCATCTTGATTAATGACTGAGCCAATGTATAAAAATGTAGCTATTTCAATGTTTCCATCATGTGTTCTTGTTATGTAGGTATTTGGTGGTCATTTTGCTTGGTATTGTTTTGTTATTCTGTCATTTCAGTGGCATTTTGTGCAAAACATAGGGTACACAGCAACCCCCAAAGTGGATATGTTCTTCCTATAAAGAGAACTGAGAAAAAATAAGCCACTTTTCAATAACTGGATAGGGTGGACGTTTCAATGATATGGCCATGGTGCCAGCAAGTGTTGAGGTGGGTGTTTTTATTTTTATTTTTTAGAAAAGGAAAGCAAGTGAGAGGGAGTGTCAGATTTTTATTAGACAGATTTAAAAATAATGTACAGCTAATCCCTAAATTCTGCATCAGCAGCACCACCCTTCAAGACACTTCAAAAATTATTTGAAGGTTGTGATATTGTGTGGTGCTGAATTAAAAGAAGACTTGCATTCTAATTGTAGAATTCTTGTCCTAAATATTTCTTTCTCTTTTAGATTGTTTAACAATTTCTTTGTCAATTGAATTTCTCTATAAGTTAGATATATTCTTTTTAAAAACTGGCATATAGTTTCTCTTTTGGGAAGAATTTGTTCATTTTTAGTCATTTAATTATTAAGAATGCATGAGTCCCCTTTGCGGTTGGGAAGGGTGGGATATAAATATGGCAAATAAATAAATAAATAAATGCTCATGGTCCAGGGCCTAAACACTTTAAAGGCACCAGACCTTGTCTGATCTTGGAACCTAATCAGGATCATCCCTGGTTAGTACTTGTATGGGAGGCTGCTAACAAATACCAGATGCTGAGAGCTACATTTCAGATGAAGCAACCACATTTGAGTATTTCTTGCCTAAGAAAACCCTATGAAATTCATGAGTCACCATAAGTTGACAGGAATCCTGAGACAGACAAATACATGCAACCATAGTCCTTAAAGTGTGTTTTAGAATTAAATTTTGCAAACTGCCCTGGTTCCATAAGATTGAAAAAGTAATGCCATTATTAAAATATAATATGATATAATACAGCATAATACATACTAATAATTTTGGATTTTGAACTGGAGTTGAGGTTCACTTGAACAGGCTTGCATAACTTGTCACCCATCCAATAAAAGTCTACCAGTTGCTGTAAGTAGTAGTAGTAGTAGTGTACTGGGTGAGTAAAGGGAGTTAGTGTTTTTTAAAAGGTTCTCCTGGAACAGCCTAGGCTTTTTTGCCACTTTGTTCAGAGAAGTAGATGGCAGTTTAGAGTACTGTTCCTTAACTTTTATTTTAAAATAAACCATCCCCTTATCTAAGCAGAGTGGTGGATGTATCGGTGGCACCTCTGAGATGGGGCTCATGTTTTTTCTTTCTTTCCATGGAATGATCCCCAACTTTTCCAGGGCTCATATCAAAATCGATAATTTTGACCCCGTAATCTGCCCTCAGTTTATACATGAAGTTGACTTATACATGAGTATGTGTGCTATAACTTGCCCTTCTCTGCTATGGAACCCAAGGTGGTTTACAGTGTGAGTAAATACAAAATG